GAGGCCTGGGGGGAGCTGGGAGACCTGGGGGGTCCCAGCAGGCCTGGGGGGTCCCAGAAGGCCAGGAGGGGCCCAGGCAGCTCCACAAGCTAGCTCCATGTTTGTTGATGGTTCTTGACAGTACCGGAGTTTGCTAGGGCAGGTGCTGGCCCGCCTGAACCCGACCCACAGCCACAACCAGAGGTGGCTTGAGTGGGAACGTGAATGACAGATTCTCTCCATGTTGACATTAAACCAGCTAGTTCTGAGAAAGCAGGCAACCGGCCTTAAGTCACACAGCAGCAGAGTTCCAGAGACAGAGACGATCCATTTACATAGTGATTTTTAACAGACTTGCTATACTTAGGATCTCAGGGGTATGATTCTATGAGAAAGGACGATGTTTCCCAAAAAATAAACAAGTCAAATCAGACACCACAGTTCACTCCTGTCATCCCAGCTACTCAGGAGGCTGAGATCTGAGGATTGTGGTTCAAAGCCAGCCCCGGCAGGAAAGTCTGTGAGACTCTGATCTCTAAGTAGCAAAAAGCCAGAAGTAGAGCTGTGGCTCAAGTGGCTGAGCAACAGGCTTAAGCACAAAAGCTCAGGGACAGAATCCAGGCCCCAAGTTCAAGCCTCAGGACTGGCAACAGGTGCACACACACTTCACATACACATACACACACACGATGGATTTCATGAGATAATAGCTAGGACCCAGCTGGGGCTTGGGGACCCACTGCACACCCCTCTCCCGGCACAGGGTAAAGCCCCAGGTGGGATTTGGTCATGGCTCCGTACATGTGTGTTTTGTGGAGACCTGACTGAACATTCTGGAAGGCCTGGGAGCCTGTTGGCTGGGTGGAGCATGGGTTCCCTCCACTAGAGTGATAGCTCCTCCCCACAGTGAAACCCAGGGCCCCAGAGAACGTCACTGTGTCCGCCAACATCTCCCACATGTGGGTCGTGGCGTGGAGCAATCCCTACCCTCCTGGAAACTTACTGCACGGTGAGCTCACCTACCAAGTCAACGTCTCCCAAGCGGATGACCCGGCGCAGGTGAGCGAGGCTAGGGCTCGGGCTGCCCGGGAGCAGGGGTGACCACCCAGGGAAGTCCTGCCTCTTGCACAGCCCCCTTTCCTGTGTTAGACAGAGTCGGTTAGCGCTCTGGCTGTGGCAAAATGCCTGACACAAACAGCATGGCAGAAGAGGTTTATGTTGGCTCCTGGGCCCCTGGCCAGCCACTGGGCCCCTTCGGCTCAGGGCATAAAATGGGCTGCGGTGGAGCTGTTCCTCTCATGGCAACCAGGAAGCAGGGAGAGGATTGGGCAGGAGGGCTGGGGGCCAGCGACCCCCTCCGAGGGCACAACCCCAGTGGTGGAAGACCCCACCCTGGGCCACTACCTACAAGTGCCACCCCCTCCCCAAAGGACTAAGCCAACACCTGGGCCTCTGCGAAACATTGAAGATTCAAAAGATGCCGGGTGTGGTAGCACGTGCTTGTAATCCCTGCACCTAGGAGGCTGACAGGAGATTGAGAGTTCAGGACTACCCTGGCTACAGAGAGAGACATTGACTCAAAGAAAGTAAAGTTGGGCACCAGTGGCTCACGCCTATAATCTCAGCTATTGAGGAGGCTGAGATCTGAGGGTCATGGTTCAAAGCCAGCCCAGGCAGGAAAGTCTGTGAGATTCTTATCTCCAACTAACCACCAAAGAGCTGGAATTAGCACTGTGGCTCAAAGCAGCAGAGGCTAGCCTTGAGCAAAAAGAGCTCAGGGATAGCATCAGGCCCTGAGTTCAAGTCCCATGAACAACAACCACAAATAGACAAGACTGGGAATGTGGCTCAAATGGTAGAGTACTAGCCTTGAGCAAAAGAAGGTCAGGGACAGTTCCCAGGCCCTGCGTTCAAGCCCCAGGACTGGCAAAAACAAACCCTCAGTGTTGGCAAGGTTAGGGGATGGGCGGCGCCGGTGTTGCTCCTTGTGCCTCATGTGACGGCAGATGTGATGTAGAGACCACAGCTCAGTCCACAAGCCAGACACGTGCCAGAAATCCCAGCTAGGCGGGGGCCTAAAATCATCACAAAGAGGAAAAAATAAAAAATCAAAGGGCTGGGCCAGGGGTGGAGCAGCTTCTAGGCCAGTGTGAGGCCCTGAGTTCAACAAGGCGTGAGAGCGAGCACAGAGGCAGGCCTGCGCCTCAGCCACACACACCCTCCCCCCCCCATGAGGGCCCCCTCCAGCATCCTGGGGCAGCAGCTAGGCAGGGCCTGGTGCCCAGACCCCGCAGCTGGTACACAGATGCCCCCCTCTCCTCCACCAGTGTCAAGTCTATAATGTGACCTACACGGAGCCTGTCCTCCACCTGGCAGCCAGCACCCTGCAACCTGGACTCTCCTACAGGGCACGGGTGAGGGCCCTGGCCCAGAAGCTGCACAGCAGCTGGAGCGAGTGGAGCCCCAGCGTCACGTGGCACAACCGTGAGTACCAGGGGCCCCTGGGCCACGCGACCTCTGCACCCCACGCCTACTGTGCAGCCACACGCCGCTGCGGGCGGCACCTCTGCGTTCTTAGAATTCCCCATGAACATGGTATAGTAGCACACGCCTGTAACCCCAGCAACCATGGGAGGCATAAGGAAGAGGATTACAGTCCACGCTGGCACTGGGAGAAAAACCCAGACCCCTATCCAAAAAATAAAAAGGCTGGGGGGCTGGGAAGGTGGCTCAGTGGTAAAGTGCTTGCCTTGCATGCCTGAGGCCCTGGGTCCGATTCCTCAGCACCACGTAAGCAAAAAGAAAAAAGCCGGAAATGGTGCTGTGGCTCAAGTGGTAGAGCGCTAGCCTTGAGCTGAAGAGCTGAGGGACAGCACCCAGGCCCAGAGTTCGGGCCCCACAACCAGACCCCCCCCCAAAAAAAGGCTGGGGACTTGGTTCAAGTAGTAGAGTCTGCCAGGCAAGTGGGAGGCCCTGAGTTCAAACCCCTATGCTGTGAAGAGTAAACATGAAAAAGATAGCCGGGCATGGGGGCTCATGCCGGTCACCCTAGCTACTCAGGAGGTTGAGATCTGAGGATCACAGTTCAAAGCCAGCCCTGGCAGGAAAGTGTGAGACTGGTATCTTCTAATTAACCACCAAAGAGCTGAAGTGGAGCTGTAGCTCAAATGGTAGAGCACTAATCTTGAGCAAAAAAACAGGGACAGCACACAGGCCCTCAGTTTTTAAGCCCCATGACACACTCACACACTCTGTCTCTCACATACACACACACACAAGCGCGCGTGTGAACGCGCACATGCCAGTACTGGAGCTGTGGCCCAAATGGTAGAGTACCAGCCTTGTGTGAAAAAATCTTAAGAGCATTGCCCAGGTCCTGAGTTCAAGTCCCAGGCCTGGCTCAGGAAGGGGGGGGGGGGGGGCGCGCATGGTGGCAGATGACGCCCTGTGTGCACAGCTCCATCAGTAATGCCCTGTGGCCTGGCCAGCCTGGGAGGTGCAGCGTTCCTAACTCCATAAGAAAGCTGAGGTTTCCAGGGCACACAGAGGGTCATCAACTGACCTAGGGTCTCAGCTGGCCTTGAACTCAAGCTCCCGGAATGCACTGCGTTCCAGCTGTGCCCTGAGGAGGGCTCGGTGGGAGAGGGGAAGGTGAGGCCAGAGGGCAGTGGGTGCCCGGCCCGGATGCCCAGCCTAGCCCCGCCCCAGGGCAGCTGAGGCCTTCTCCTTCCCCTGGCAGACTCCCAGCTGGCCCTGGAGCAGCAGCTGGCCCTGGGCGTGGGCATCGCCTGCACCATCATCCTGCTCGTGTGCCTGGTCTGCTACTTCAGTGTCATCAAGTGAGTGCTGGCCCCTGGCTCTCAGTGTGCGCTAGCTCAGCAGCTGCTGTCCACCTGGCATGGGTTAGAGGGGGGAACAAGGCCAACAGGACCCCGCGTGGGGTCCCCAGTCACTGGAATGCCTTGTGGAAGGGATTTGGGCTCAGTACCCTGGGTACAGGGAAGTGACTGGTGTGGCAGGGTGTTGTGCTAAGTACCCCGGTACGTGCAGGGGACCAGTGTTTCCGGGCACTGTGGCTGCTCCTTGTTGCGCGTAGAGCAGGGTTGGCTGTGGCATCCACAGACGCGCTTTGCCAGCCATGCTGACTGATGGGGTAGCGAGCGGGCGCCAGCCTACGGTTAACGCAGCCCCTCTCCTGGCTGGCAGGATTAAGCAGCTGTGGTGGGACCAGATCCCCAACCCCAGGCGCAGTACCCTGCTGGCCGTCGTCATCCAGGATTCCCAGGTAGGCCGGCACGCGCATCCATGGCTGCGGTCCCGAGCACACTCCAGCTGTCTGAGCCGGCAGGAGCCCCCTGGCTCGTGCTGAGTTTCCCCGGGGATTGCACCCTGGCTCTTGGCTCTGCCATGTCCAGGAATCAACTAGGGGACCCCTCTGGGGGGTGGCTGGTGCCTTGTGCACCCCATTGTGTGGAAGCCGATAGAGACGATGCCCAAAAAGTCCCGGTGCACTTATGTAACAGTTGTTGCTGTGTAACATACAGCCCCGGGGTTCCAATGCCCATCATCCATCCACAGCTCCTGCCCCTGCAGGCTGGCCGTGTGAGTGGGGCTCTGCGGGAGGGGTGTGCGGGAAGGGGCCTCATTCTTCCGTGGCTCTAGCCCTTGGCCAGCTCACTGGGACCAGGGAGGTGACAGGGCCTGGCCTGGCACAGCCATGGTTCCTGGGCCGGGTTAAGATTGGGAGGAAAGCCTGGCGCTGGTGGTGCAGGCCTGTCATCTGAGATGCTCAGGAGGCTGGGATCTGAGGAGCGTGGTTCAAAGCCAGCCTGGGCAGGAAAGTCCATGAGGCTAACCCCCAGAAAACCCAAAGTGGTACTGTGCTCAAAGTGGTAGAAGCTTGCCTTGAGCAAAAAGCGCTCGGGGACAGTGCCCAGGCCGCACGACAGACAACAAAGTGTGGGAGGAGTTCAGAGTCCTTGGACCACTGCTGCCGTGGGCCATCGCCGCTGCCGTGGGCCATCGCCGCTGCCGTGGGCCATCGCCGCCGGTTTGGTCCTCAGCCGCTGTGGGTCTCACAGCTGTCTCTGTTTAGGTGTCGCCGTGGGAGAAGCCGACGCCAGGGCAGGAAGCACGTGAGCGCCCGTAGGTACCGGGCCCTGAGGGCGCCCGTGCACCCTGGGGGTGGGCCGCCACTGATCTCTCTCTGGGCTTGGGGGGAGGGTGGGGAGGGCGGGGAAGGGGTGCGGGAGGGGCGCGCCGGGCAGATGCTGGGCGCAGGCGAGGGACAGTGCCCAGGCCCAAGACCAATAAAAACAACAGCCCCACTCTATCCTGAGGAAGGATGTGTGCGGTGGGGTAGGCTCGCAGCATTGTGCGGGGCCGGCTCTAGTCCCTGCCCTCGCGGAGTTCCACCTCTGAGAAAAATCCGGAGAGAGCAGCGAGGGCGCTCCCCGGCCGGGTTCTGAAGGGCGGATAGGAGTGTGGGCGCCGTGGTGATTTCGGGCCCTGCGTTGGCAGCCGCTGGAGGAGCTGCCTGGCCAAGCTCCTGCCGTGCCTGCTGGAGCACGGCGGGAAGACGCGGAGTGTCCCCAAGGCGTCCCGGAGCGAGGCCCGGCTGGCGTGGCCCCCCGTGGAGCTGCACAAGATGATCCTGTGGCCGGAGAGCATCAGCGTGGTGCGGTGCGTGGAGCTGTGCGAGGCCCCGGCGGCGCGGGCGGCGG